ACAAATCCACCCACACATGTTCACACCCACAAACCACATATACTCGTATGTATAAATATTCTCAAAATACTAGATTCTTGAAATACAGGAAAATATAATGCAATATAATGTACTACCAATGTTTCTTCAGTAATAGCACAATTTATGTAAGGGTGACACTGTGCTTTCTATTGTCAAGATTTAACACTCTAGTTTATATAACAATGTAATTTAGTTTAAAACTAAATTTCTTTGCTTCCCTCCCCTCCTGTCGGACTTAATGACCCTGTTTTCCCAAGGCTGCATGCATACTTCATTAATTTTTTTAATTGAAAAAAACTGTTTCAGCCCTCAGACATCTGCTTTGCTGGCAACCAGGCTGAGATCCACTCCTACAACAGGGTCTGAAATAACTATCTCAGGACAAACTGGACTCTGGGAAGTGTTTTTTGTTTGCTTATTTGTTTGTTTGTTTGTTTCAGACGTGAGTGCCCAGGAATCATCTGACAGACTAACTCCCCTTTTCCTTTGTTCCGCTTCTTACTTGCCTAAAAAACCTCTGGCCATTCTCCGAACGAGGAAGATGGCCTTTGAGACAGGAGTCCACTGTCTTCTCAGAATACTGGCATTTTAAATAAACCTTTTCTTTCCATCAACTCTTGTCTCATGATTGCTGGCTCATGAGCAGCAAGCAGCTGAACCTGAGTTCAGTAACATATACAGAAATGAAGCTAGGTTATCTCTAAAAATATAAATCCACAAAATTAGTCTAATTCATTAAAATGAATGCCTGCCCTAGATTGGACGTGATACCCTGACCTGGAGGCACTCATGTCAGGCTTTGACCAGGAAAGCAAGTGTCCTAGTCACTCTTTTTGCTCAGTAGCTAAAACTTTTAATTGACCTGTATGTATTTTTTGGGGTTTTGTTTTGTTTGTTTGTTTCAGTACTTTAGCCTTGCAAAAGTCCTATGTTACTATTGCAGTGTTTTTATTTCTTCTTTACAGCCTCTCAAATATATACAAGCAAGGGTGCCTTTCTTTAAGAAATGTGTATTTTCTGAATGCAAAATAATAAAGGAAAGTAATCTTTAAAGAACCCTTTTCATTTATAATAACCATTTAGTTGAATTGCCCCAAGATTATTTTACTTCAGTATACTTAAGAATCTACCTAAAATTCCTCATGCATAAAGCTTTTTGATGTCTCATATAATCAGCCTGCCCAAGATAGCTATATGTTTCAGAGAGACGTTTATTACGATTATAACAATGTAAACATGCCCCTAATTTTAGTTGTTTAACATAGCAAACACTTATTTTTGAAACTTTAATATCACTGAAGAGAGTTTTGTAAGCCCAAGTGACTCCCAATGCATTTACTGAAAGTCTCAAAGTTCGATCATTTTTTTAAAGATACAGCTCTTTTCCAAGCCAGAAGAAATAAATATAGAAATGATTTGGCTTTCAAGAATGACAAACTGAAGTAGCAATAAAAAGTTTAATAGGGGCCGGCCAAGTGGCTCAGTTGGTTAAGAGCTCGCTCAAGAGTTTGAGCTCTGAGCAACAGCGGTTCGAGGCCAGCCCGAGCTGAGCAGCCGCTAAGCTGCCATTAGGTAGCAGGATGGCTCAGCTTAAAAAAAAAAAGTTTAATAGGAAAAAAGGTGAGACCTACGAGTATAATAAGATTCAAAAAACATCCCATGAGTTTGTAGGGGAGTAAGAACTTTACCGTTCCCTTCTTGGGATCTGTGGCTGGGCCTGAGAATTAAATTGACATAAGACAGATTAACAGGAGAAAAGCATATAGATTTTTAAATGTATGTGGGAGCCCCCATTGCAAAATGAAAACCCCAGAGGCAGATATGCCCAAGTGTTTATATACTAGGTTGAACAAAGAATAGTGATTGTGAAAAGGTAACTAAAACGTATGGGGAGACTAAAGGAAGAAAAGAGTTGTTTTAACAAGCTTTGTATGTACAGATTTCTCTGGCTGGACTCCCCATCTCTGGTGATAAAAATGTTTCTTTCTTCCTGGAAAGGGAGGGAAGCTTTTCCATGGAATTTTTATCTCTGCTTTCAGGGAGAAAAGGTGAGTCAGAGTGTCCTTGCACCTGCTGTTTTTCAAGTGCCTTTGGCTCAAAATGACCCTTATGCCAAAATGGCATATTTTGGGGTGACATATTCTGCCATCCTTCAGGTAGAAGCTTCAGGGTGTGCTGCTTAACTTTAGTGACAGTACGGATGTCTTTAGTTACTCTGACATTTAATAAAACTCAGTGGCATAAGATAGCAGCCAACTCTGGAAGTACATTTTTACTTTGAGCCAATGCAAGTAATCTTATAACAAGGTGGATTCTCTGTACTCCTCAGGCCACACCTTGAAAGTGCCACAGTTTAAAAACTATTTCAACACCGAGACTGACCACGGGACAGTGGTAATGGGACTAAATTTATTCTGTGATTGTAGAATGTATGAAAGCATCCTATGCAACAGACACTAAGCTAAGCACAGGGGAGACAAGAATAAAGCGCATGCACACCACGAGCTTCCTACCTGTTCTGTGAGACAGACAGATGATCCAAGGACAGTGGCCTCCTGTAACTGAGGCACTAGGCGAGGCTGGCTGGCAGTGTGGTCACATACCCTGGCTTCAGAGTTCAAATGCCCCTGTTCAAAAGTCCACTTCAGCTGCTTATAAGCAGTGTAAATGTGTAATGGCAAGCCATTATGTCCTCACTCTTCTTTATATTTTTGTTAACAAGAGCCCTTTATTTTTCACAATGTCTAATATGTATGTATTGGATAATTCATATCAACAAAACTATTGTTATTTACATTATCAGGAAATGGAGAAAAAATAGCCTTGTCCCTCAAAAACTCAAGCTTAAACTCAAAGAAAACAAAGATTGTCCTCTGAAAGTTTAACTACAGCATCACGACAGACTGGATCAGAGCCGAGATTCCCAGGATGAACTTCAAGACTGACTATTACCCCAAACAAAAAACACTTATATTCTGTTGACAATACATGCATTCATTAAAATAGAAAGATTAGTATAATGACCCCCATTTACCTGTCCCTTGATGTGAGCAATTATTAACATATCCAAAAGGTATAATAAAAGGGACAACATCCTGTTGAGAAAGGGGTTACTGCAACTGGCCTGGAACCAGATCTCTACTCCCCCACTCTTGAACCACTTTAGTTCACTAAACTCTTTTGTTGTTAACTTAAAATAGGAATAAAAGCACTCATGGTGTTATGCTGTGAGTATTACCCTGTTTCCCCAAAAATAAGACCTAGCAGGAAAATAAGCCATAGCATGATTTTAGGTGCCAAAATATGGCACCTTGGCATACTGAATATTTTAAGCAGAAGGAGTTTGTGGAAAAGGCACCCTTCTCCCTGAAACAGCTCATAAAACCCTCATGTGAGGGTTGCGTTCCCTTCATGTCCTGGAGGAATCATGCTAGGGCTCCTTCTCTGGCTAGGTCTTGTTTTGGGGGAAACACAGTAAATAACAACTTCTCCAAATCGCTTAGCACAATGCCCAGCCTGGGGAAGCCATTTGGTAAATTCTTGGTAGCTGTTCTATGGTTGTCAGAAAAAGGAGATTCAACCAGCCAGCCTACACATGGTGAGGGTGAGGTTTGACAGCGCATGCCCTGTCCTCCTGTTGACTGGTTTCCCCCTGCTGGGTACATGGACACTTCCCTGACTGACACACTGAAACATCTGAAGTCTACAACTGACTGCCCTTGGTCCGATGTACTGTCCACTGAGCAAGTGCACTGAGGGACATAATTAATCATCACTGAAATGAACGAATTGATGTTCTGCGCTCCTGTATAATGGCTGCTCTTAGGTCAGCTTGGGGTGAGGCGGAAGTGGGGGAATGCGGAAGGGTTCAGGATGGTGGGGAGCAAGCCTCGATTTATGGAAAGGGAACCATCCTTGTGAAGGAGTGGAGAGGGAGTGGGAGTGGAGCACCCAGGCAGCACCTGCAGTAGGGGACAGATAATCTAGCTTCGTTTCTATATATTGCTCTATTGCTGAAGAAAGAAACATCAGTAGTACATTATATTTTGTCTCCATTGCTTCTCTGTGGCCCTCTCTGAGGAAGTGTAAAGGAGATTAGAACTGCAATGAGGATCCCAGAGTGCTACTGTCCCCAAACGCTACTGTCACTGTGACCACCATGATTACTGGCCACAAGGCCTAGTAAAACATTTTAATTATTTTTTAATATTTTTTTATTAGTTTCAGGTGTACAAACCAATGTAATAAACATTTACACACCTGACAAAGTGATAACCCCCCTCCTCCAATCTACTACCCCTCTGACATCGTATATAGTTGTTAAAATTCCATTGACTTTATTCCCTATGCTGTACTCCATATCTCATGACAATGTGTATATATATATATATATAAAATTAGAGTAGACATTCAATATTATTCAGCTTCAGGTGTACAGTGCAGTAGTCAAGCATCTACACTGTCCATGAAGTGATGTCCCTAATAAGAAAATTGCCCATCTGACACCCTACAAAATCTTTACAACATTATTGATTATATTCCCCAGACTGTCTTTCATAGCCCCATGGCAATATTGTGGTTACAAATTTGTGCTTTCCAGTCCCCTCATTGTTTTCCCTCATCCCCACCCCCTCCCATCTAGCAACCATCAGTTTTTTCTCTATATCTCAGAGACTATTTCTGTTTAGTTTGTTCATTAGGTTGCCCACTTTAATGATCATTTAAAAAATGAACTGGTGGGGGATTTCATTCGTTTGTAACAGGTGAGCGCAGCTAGGGAAGCTGCAGTTAGCGCGCCAGCAGTTAGTCCCGCAGGTCATTAGCAAGGCCGCAGATGTGGCTCTGTGGGCCTTTCCTAAGGAAGGACCAAGGCCTCCGCGGGAGGTTCCGTTCTTGCTGCCGTGCAGATGCGGCTCTGTCTGCATCCCAGCCCTTCGTCCCTGTGCCCTGACGTGTGTACCTTCTTCTTATGCCCGCAGAGCACCCTGCTGTGGACCCGGACACCCTGCGAGCTGGCGCGCGTGGCTTCACCGGCTGCCTCTCCGCGGTGCGCTTCGGCCCCACCACCCCGCTTAAGGCGGCGCTGCGCCCGGGCGCCCCAGCCCCAGTCATCGTCAGGGGACAGGTGGCCGTGGCCAGCTGCGCCCAGGGGGCGGGGCCTGGAGACCCCGTGCGGGAGGCCACCCGCACACTCGCAGGTGGTGCAGGTGCGTGGCTCTCCGCCAGCGTTCTACCCTCCTATCTGCATCCCAGAGGTTTCCAAAAGTGCTCTGTTGGTTCACCTTCCCCTTCTCTTGTCTTTCCATTCTCCGTTCTTCATTTAATGTTCATTTCTAAGGCTGCAATTGTCTGCTTTCAATTGTTTGTGAATTTTTCAAAAGTCCGCCTTTCCACTCGCCTCTGTCACTCTGCCTTTTTCTACTGTAGGTCGTTCTGAACCAACAGATGAGGGAGAGCCCTTCGTCAATGCGGACAGAAGTGGCTCCACAGTCATTGGAGGTAACAGGGCAGTGAATGACCTGGTCCATGACGTTGTTGTCACTGTTAGCATAATCCAAAAAAGAGAATCAGCCCTGATGGCGACATCAATGGCAGGCCATACACATTTGCTGATGTTCTTGATGTAATTATACTGAATTCAGCATCCTGAAGAAGGAACTGATGGTTCCACTAAAACACTCTTTAAAGAGTAGTTGCCAAACTATAGACTAATGAGGTTTTTCTTTGGAAAATATCCATTAATATATTAATAGTTGTCAGGATATATATATATATATATATATATATATATATATATATATATATAGTTGTCAGAAAAGTCATGATGTATTTTTCCTATGTTTTTCCATTCAAAATACCAATGGACCCCTCAGTCCATTAGCCCAAAACATTTTAAAACAATATTAAAAATAAAACAAATATTGGGAGAAACACCTAAACTATGCAAATGGCATTTTTTAAAACATAAAGGTATAAAACTGTTTCTGGTATTAATTTTAACTTAGGATACAATAGATAGATAGGTGATAGGTAGAAAAATAGATAGATAGATAGATAGATAGATAGATAGATGATAGATAGATAGACATAGATATATAGACTTGCACTATATATCTTCAATATATTCTCTGAAACTGAATTTATCCAGGCCTGATTCAAAAATTGAACATTCAAAGCTCCCTCTTCATTCTAAGACATTTTATTTCATTTAATTAGATTATTGAAATGTGAGTCAGTTGCAAACTCTCCTTGGTGGGGAGGAAGTAAACTGCTGTCCATTCCATTGCTACCCCAAAATAAGGTAACTACTCATAGAGCTAGGTGATTGACTGGGTGTCCACTGTTCAAGGGGCTACTCACCTGCTCAGATTAGATCTATTCATTCACCCGCATTCATCCTGACCCAAGTTTTCTCCAGACAATTAGGAAACTTTCAGACCCTTTAAAGGGCTGGCCAAATCTATATAAGAATGTTAACATTTCCATTCCTATCTCAGCTACTTCATTTTTGTAATGAGTGAGGCATATTACCCCAATTTTATAACTCAAAGAACAAACAAAAAATATAAATGTTATTTATAACGCATATCCAAAAGGAATACTTTTAAATCTTAACCCTAAATCACTCTATTTTTTAATGAAAAGATTTTGCTATATTGCAAAATCTAATTTAAAATAAATCCTCTTAAATGTGATTAATATTTTCAAAATAGAAGTCCAAAAATTTGTTAATATTTTAGTTGCTCTTTTATTAGGTAATAGTCAAATTGATAATATAACAAAAAAATGTGTTCTTTGGAGCTTTATTGCTTTTGGCTAAATATCAGTGGCAAGATGTACAAAATGAATACGTTGTACCAGTGTCATTCCCCTGAGAAACCCTACTGGGTCCTGGTAGATGGGATGGAGAACCAGAGCAGGGAAGATCTCAGGGACACAACAGCTCAGTTTGCTGGGCCCCACAATTGACTTGTACCTGCCTTCAATCTGTGCAGAGGCTGCTTGCTCCCTGGTTTGCGTGCTACTGAGTATATTGACGCCCAGTGGATGTTTCTAGGAAGGATTCTTAGCCCTTTGTCTAACTGATCACTGACTGTAAAATGCTTGATCTGTTTAAAGGATAATTACAATAGGTGGATTTCTCTATGTTTTGCATTTTGCATTACCATTTTCCCTCTTGCAAACAAAGGGAACACAATAGGAAAGGAGAACTAACCTAGACAACATTCAAACCAGGTAAACCAGAGATCACAGAGGGTTTCTTTTTTTAATATTTGTTTGATTTTTCAATTATAGTTGACATACAATGTTATATTAGTTTCAGGTGTACAACATAGCAATTAAACATTTATATAACTTACAAATTGATCATCCCGATAAATTTAGTACCCATCTGACCCCATATATAGTTATTACAATATTATTGCCCATATTCCCTATGCTGTAATTTACATCCCCACCATTATTTTGTAACTACCAATTAGTACTTCTTAATCCCTTCAACTTTTTCACCCAGCTCCCCAGCCTCCCTCCCATCTGGCAACCATCAGTCTGGTCTCTGTATCTATGAGTTTCTTTCTGCCAAGGGGTCCATAGTGTAAACGGGCAGATAGATGGATAGAAGGAGAAAAGGTCAGATGTGCAGATAGAGAGGCAGGCAGACATGAACTTGTCAAAAATGCATTTACACAGGAGTTGCTGATAGACAGGTTCTGGATGCATCAGATCCATTACTCAAATTATCTCAATCTCTTCAGATAGTAGGTGAAGATAGAAGCTTTTCTAGGACTCACCAAACCCGATAAAACAAACAATCACACACTGTTTCAGTACAATGCTGACAGTAATTGTATTACCCAGTGGTCTGGTCACTGTTATTGAGAGTTACTGGTCCTTGACAGAAAATTGGACATGATATAGCTCTTTAAAGCAAAGTTCTATAACTAAACATAAAAATAATTAAAGTATTGTTGCCAAGTGAGATGCAAAATATATTGTGCATAATGGTTATTCTACCTTTGAATATTTAAGAATAGTCAAAAACTCATGAATATGTTACCCCCTCCCAGCTGAGGAGGGCTCTGGGTTCCTGGCAGCAGTGCTCAGGGATTCCTGTGACTCATTACATGCAACCAAGCTTTGAGTTTGTTGGGGTCTGTCCGACTTGCTATGTCTGTCTCAGAGCACAATGAAGAACCCTCAGTTTACAATAGAAATTTGATTCACATAACTAAGCAGTAGCAGGAGCTTTCTAACATTTGCTAGTTGGAGATATTAATTAATACCTATGTCAATAACCTTTAAAGTATGTTGACTAGTGAATGTTTATTTTTACCTATTTGTTTCAGTATAGATTGGACATTCATTCTTCACTAATATGATAGCTTAAGGACACATTTTTCAGCCTAGCTTGCCAGTCTCAATCCTGGCAGTGCTTTAAAATAATCTGAGAGACATTTAAAACAAATATCCAAGCCTCCCACCCAAAGATTCCGAGTTATTGTCTGCTGTGCAGCCAAGGTTGAGAATCACTGGCATTACTAATGTTTTCAATACTTAAAACATTTCCAGCACAAGATGTCAAATAATCTATTTTCCATCTAACTGAATATTATCAATACTGTGGTATATTAGTTATCTGTTGCTGCACGACAAACTACTCCCCACTAAATGGCTTAACCCAATCCATATTTTTATCTCACAGTTTCTGTGTGTCAGGAGTTTGGGCATAGCTCACTGGGGTCCTGTGTTCAGGGTCTTGTGAGGCTGCCGTCAAGGTGTCACCCAGGGCGGGGGTCTCAACTGGAGGTTCCACTTCCTGCCTTGCATGGTTGGTGGCAGCATGCAGCGTCCTGCAGCTGTATGACTGAGAGCTTTTGGGGTTTTGCTGGCTGCTGGCCAGAGCCTACGCTTAGCATGGAGAAGCCTCCTGCAGTTCCCTGCCATGTGGGGTTTCTCAGCATGGCTCTTTGCTACCTCGCAGCCAGCAGGAAGAGAGAGACTCCAGCAAGACAGGTGACACAATCTTATGTGACATAATCACGAAGTCAGCTACATGTAATTAGCTACAGCTAGATAAATGCAAGTCACAGGCCCCACCCACAAGCACAGGAGGGGATCCCACAAAAGTATGGACCCCCCCACTCCCAGGTAGAGACCACTTAGGACTCCATTGGCCTGGTAGAGATAGTGGTATATGTACCAACGGACTGTAGTTCAGCAGTACATCAGCATCAAAATTTAATCACATTTTTGTTAAAATACTTATACATAATTACTCTATGAATGGGCTAAACACTCTATACTTTTAAAATAATTGACCCCTGCTTGCTCATTAGCATGAAGTTGGGCATGACCTAAGAGGCCATATTGTGTTTCTGAATTTAAGTGTGACTGCACTAAATGAAATCCAGTCATGGTATGTCTAGGATAAAGGCATAAAACTGCTGTATCTAAAGGTTTTATGGACTTAGAAGTAACCTTCATATTATAATTCCCTTAGTTTCAAATTTTCTGATGTTATAAAGATGCTCCTCAACTTATGATGAGATTGCATCCCAATAAACCAATTGTAAGTTTAAAACATCCTAAGTCAAGAATGCATTTAATATGCTTCACCTACCGAACATCATAGCTTAGCCTAGCCGGTCTCTACTGAATGCTTTTGCACCATCGCAAAGTCAAAAAACTGTACATCAAGTCACTGTAAGTCGGTGAACATCTGGATGTATGATATAAACGATGCTAGGATAGATTCCAGTTAGGCCAACATTTACAGTTTGTATTCTATGTTTTTCCTTTCTCTTTTCTCACTAGGTGTGATAGCAGTTGTGATATTTATCTTGCTCTGCACCACTGCCATAGCAATACGCGTATATCAACAGAGATGGTTATACCAAAAAAATGAGTCAAATATTCCAGAAAATGGAGACAATGCTGAGACTGCTCTGAAACATGAACTCAACATGCAAAGTATAGTCAGTGAAAGCCAGAAAGAGTCTTTCTTCTGATCGGCAGCAGTGGTTTTACTCATGGCTGTGATGATGTGACTTTCTTGTTAAGCCAGGAGCTCTCAGTGGGTGAAGCCCCCATCTTGTCCTCCTGGGACAGGTGGTGGGGGTGCCACGCCCTCAGCTTACTCACGCCCGGTCCCAGGAGGCTCTGCTCAGTGCTTCTTCATGATCTACTGATGTAAAATGACTTAGGTGCGCTCATTAATCACTGTTTGGTGGTATCTGTTATGACCTGATCTTCTACAACTGAAATGTATTTTGCATAAAGACCTTGGGTTTTAAGTAAGAATAAGGACTTGAGCTGTGGCCCTACTCTCTTAAAAATGTGACACAGACGTTATAAAAGTCAAAGTTGGACTGTAATGTTTTGTGTTATGTGGAAACCTATGTTATGATTCCTTTATCAACCACCTGATGACATTTGTAAACCAGGAAGTTCTTGTCAGATGTCCTTCAGCTGCATTTCTATTGCCCAGTGAGTAAAAATGCATTTGAAATGGGGGGGGGGGGGGGGGAATTTATTTTTTTGGCTGATTGTTTTTATTATTCATCTCTTAAATCAGTATGGATACATTTTAGTAATGAAATGAGTATTGAATGTAGGCTCTGAAATTCTACTATTGAGTTTAGTTATTAGACAGAAAATTCCTAGGTAGCAAATGTGTAAAGCATTCCAATCAATATGCTATGATTTGCTTATTTTTCTTTGTGATTTGTCATTGTAGTCTTTGTAGATTATAATAATAATCACCTAATGATCTCACAAAAATGTGCATTTTCTAACTAGACTTGTTCCCATATAGAAACTCTATACTTAATACTGCACAGGTATCCTTCATTCATTTCATCTGAATGAAATATAATCCTAAATTTATTTCCTATAAATGTGAAATGATTGGGTCACCTTTCTTTGTTGTCCCGTGATTCCCTTTTCCTGAAGGTCATCACAACAATCTTGATTTCTTGTGACTGTCTTTTATTTATTAGGGGAAAAGTCACATTTTGACTTGAAGCTCTCCATTTCCCTTTCAAATTTTTAACTGATTGGGCAAACCATTCCCTGAATTACCATCTCATCTAGTTACTATTTGGAATCTTACTAGAAGGATGATTAAGCTAAGGGAGATGCAGATTGTATTATCTGAATTAAATCTGTAATATCATTGTAGTTGGGATTCTAGGATCTTGGAGTCAGTTTCCAATAGAGCATCTAACATCAGCTAGTTCATTTCATAGTAGAGTATATTTGCATACTAGGAGAGCAAAGAGTTCATATAACTTTGGGAATTGTTTCATAGCCAATTATAATAAAAATGTGCTGCACTACCCATACCCCACCTGCCATATGCCTGCCAGGTGTTAGTGTACTTACTTTGACTGCCACAGGATTATTAGAACTATGTACCTTCAGCCTTTCTATTTCTTTGAGTGCATACTTACTTTAATGTGTTCTTTTCAAAGAATGGAAAAAGATATCCTCTGCATTGCCTTTTTTCAAAAATGTTTTTTCTTTTGGTTATACTCGTAAAGACTTGAACAAGCAGGCTGAGATCATATGGACTACCTTAAAGTCTATCTACACAATACTGAATCTAAATTGATGTTCCTTTACATGAATAATGGTTTTCACGATCTCAATATAATAATATAGGAAGGACTTACCTTGGTAAATGATATATATACTTTTCCCCCAAACATCTGTGCAGATTAGAGAAGGATTCAATGCAAAAATGATAGGCTTTGTTGAATGCATAGCTTAGCATAAGCATCATGAAACTACTGCCACTTTAACAAGTGATCATCTTATGTTCTAAAAGAATGCATCACTTCGGTAGCTGAAATTTTACAGAGTTATAGATAGTGAAACCCATTGCACTCTGCTGTCTTCTATAAAGAGAAAATAAAATACCTGTACAAAATTGCAGTGCTGCATCATTTACTTTCCCTTACTGATTTGTAAACTTTACCTGTTTATTCGTTAATAAAATAACATTTTTGAATTAAATTAGGAAAACATTTTTGAGAAGAGTTGAATAAAATTTGAATTATGAAATTATATTGTTTTCCCCTAAAATATTAAAAAATGTGCAAATGTATACATTCTGTAGTGGTGTGTATTACTTTCTCTCAACTGTATGTACGAGTTCTGACAATTAAGTTTGCAAACTTGTTGCAATGATGTTGCTAACCTTTTTTGATATCAGAGGAATTATTTAATTTGAATTTGTACCAACTGGACAAATGGTTAACCAAGTTTACTCTTTGGAAGTGCTGAAAGGCTGCATGAAAAAGTTAGATGAAAATGACCTCAACTTTCCACCAACAATTCATGGCTCTTGCATCATGACAATGTTTCAGCTCAGATGTCACTGTCTTGTGAGGGAGTTTTTAGCCAGTAAACAAATGACTATTGGAACACCTTCCCTACTCAGCTGATCTGGACCCCAATTACTTCTTTCTTTACCTGAAGATAAAGGAAATATTGAAAGGAAGACATTTTGATGACATTCAGTACATCAAAGGTAATACAATGACAGCTCTGATGGCCATTCCAGAAAAAGTTTCCAAAATTTCTTTGAAGGGTGGACTAGGTACTGGCATTGTACTTCCCAGTACAATGAAACACTTCCCAAGAGTAGTACTTCAAAGGTGACTGTAGTGATATTCAGCATTGAGGTATGTAGCACTTTTTCTAGGATGAGTTAACAAACTGAATTGTCAGACTCCTACAGGAAATAATATTATAATCTGTTAATATTATTTATGATGCTATATACAAGGTGTGATCAAAAGATATGGTGAATGTTAAACAAAAAAAATTATTACAGTAAAAGACACATTGCCATTAATCCCCCTCAAAATACTCCCCTTTGCTTTGAACACACTTATCCCATCATTCTTGCCACTTTCTGAAGCAATTCTGGAAGCCCTCTTTCGTGAGTGTCTTTACTTGCGCTGTCGCAGCTGCCTCCATGTCCTGAATCAATTCAAAATGTTTACCTTTCATGGTCGTTTTGACTTTTGGAAAGAGCCAGAGGTCACACAGTGCCAGATCCAGTGAATAAGGTGGATAAGGACACACCATCATGTTTTTATTTGACAGAAATTGCCATACCAGAAGCAATGTATTGCCATACTCGAGCATTGTCATGATGGAGGATGATTTATGGCACACTTTAAAACACACTTTCTCTCAACTATAGCTCATACCCAATCGACTGCATCAAATAAGTTGAAACTTTTTACACACTGTTACTAAGGTTTGATGCACCACTTCCTGTATTGAAGATCCCTGTATTTCTGTTGGATGGCACTCAGCAGCAGCATTCACTATATTGTTTGATCACAACTTGTAAATGATCAAAAACAAAAAGAAACACAAAGTAGTTGATACCTACTGATTGCAACAAGTTAAAATACCTATGAATGTAGATATTTAAACCTTTGTCACAAAGCAATAACTTAACAATCAATAAGTTATTTGTTGAATGTTTGCTATATACTCAAAACTGATTAAAAACGATTTTCCCCCACAGAGTTGAATTTTTAGAGCACTAATTAAATACACAGATTCCAGTTGCAAATAGCATCCTTCTATTAAGTAAAAGTTAAAAGATAATAATTCCCCATATTTTATTTTCAAATAGAAAAGAAAAATAGCATACAAGTAACACCCATCATTGGGACTAGAAATTAAGAACTTCTGTTTCCTCCATTATGAAGTAAAGCACCCTTCACTACCTTCCCAGTATTATTTAGAAACATAGAAAAACATATTGGGGCATTTATATTCTATTTGTCTACAATAACCACTACTTACAGGATGGAGATATATATATATATATATATATATATATATATATATATATATATATATATATGACATTGAATAGATATTTGGTTTCAAAGGATATTTTAAAAATAAAGTGTGGTGGAGTATAGTGTGGGAGTGGAGTCAATGGAATTATAATAGATATGTATGATATTGGGGGGAGTGGGGCAGTGGATTGGGGGAGGGGGGTTGTCACTTTGAGGGGTAAAAAGTATAATTACTAATGTTGTCAGTATTTTGTAGGGTGTCAGATGGTCACATGTCTTCTTAGGGAGACCAATTCATGGATGGGGTAGAGGCTTGATCACTGCACTCTATACCTGAAGCTGATGTTGAATAATATTGTATGTCAACTATATATATATATATATATATATATATATATATATATATATATATATATATATAAGATCGCAGAATGTGGAGTATAGTGTGGGGAATGGAGGCATTGAAATTGTAATAGCTATGTATGATATGGGGGGAGTGGGGTGGCAGTTTGGGGGAGGGGGTCATCACTTTGAGAGATAAGAAGTATAACTATTGCACTGTGTTGTACACCTGAAACTAATTTAAAAAATAAAATAAAATGAAGTGTGAAGTTCATGACCCTTGCTTGAAAGAAGACAAATATGATTTAGCACTTTTCATCTAGTATAAATAGCTTTGACTAAGAAATTGGATTATCAAAATATTCTTCAAACAAGGGGGATGATATGGACACACATTAAATGAAAATATGTTGATTAGGCTGTTTATATAATGTTTTACAATCCATGCACTACTTTTAAAGAGTCCCTCAGTGCCTTCAACAGATCCTGGCTGTCTATCTCTTTTCCTAAGTTGGGCTTGTGGTGAACAGGAACATGTGAAAAAGAATGGGAAAGAGACTGATAGACAAGAAATGATTTGCATGCAAAGTGGTGGGGAAAATGAATTTTATGTGCATGTGAATGCATGGCTACATATTTTCAAAATCAACCATTGTAATATACTTCATGAAGGACAAAAACCACGTAATCATTCTAGTGGATGCAAAAAAAAGATAGCATTTGACAAGATTCAACACTCTTTCCTGGCTTTATTTTCAAGAATATGCTTCATTATTATGAAACATTGTGTTACACTAGAATTACTTACTCCTTGAATAAATGTAGAACTTTAGCCCACCAGGACTTAAACTTTTCTCTGTGAGAAGATTGCTGGTTACTGACGTCTGGGTCTTCTTCCTACCTGGGCACTGCCTCTAAGAGTATAGGGCCACACAGCCCATTACATTCTATAGCAACTTGTTGCTCAGGTAGGGAGGAAGAAACAGATACAAAACATAGCCTTTGCATGAATGCCCATGTGACCTTCTTTTCTCTCAGTCCTTTAACCCCTTAAAAGGGGTACTGCATCATTAAAGTTGTCAGTAGCCAGATGTCTGCACCCAAATACCAAGGGTATTTATAAAATATATATATATATATATATATATATATAATATATATAATTTTTTTTCCAGCTGTGCCTCTTTGGCTCACCACGAGTTTTCTAAAATTATCTGTCATTTATTTTTTTTTTAGCTGAGCCATCCTGCCACCTTTTGGCAGCTCAGTGGCAGCTCAGCTCGGGCCAGGCATCAAACCACTGTTGCTCAGAGCTAAAACTCTTGAGCAAGCTCTTAACCAACTGAGCCACTCGGCCGGCCCTATCTGTTGTTTTAAATGTTTCCCTTACCTTCTTCCCTAACAGTATAAGATCCTAGGGCAAATTAAGTTGAACCCTATGTAATTACCAAGTGATTAATATTAATAGTTTATCTGTGACATTTTATGACTGCTGGTCAAGATGGCAGAGTAGGAAAATGCTATGCTCGCCTCCTCCTATGATCACATCAAAATTACAACTAAATTATAGAACAGCCATCATTGAGAACCACCTGAAGACTAGCTGAACAGATTTCCTATAACCAAGGATATAAAGAAGAAGCCATGATGAGACTGGTAAGAGAGGCAGAGGCACAGAACAGGCAGGTCCTATACCAACAGTGTGGCAATTAAGAATCAGGAGGGACATCTCAGTTGCAGAGGTCACCCTGAGGACCGAGGGGTCACAGTCCAACCCTGGGCTCCCCAGCCTGAGGCATCAGTGCTGGGGCGAGAAGTTCCCATAACATCTGGTTGTGAAAACCAGCAGGGGTTGTGTCTGAGTGAGATGGAGGGCTGCTGGATCCAGGCATTTCTCTTGAGGAGCCTGCATATGGAGTTGTTCTCTCACAAGGCCACTTGTTCTGGGCTCCAGTACTAGGGAAGCAGTTCAAAATGTACCAGGGATATACAGGGAAGACCTGAATTGACTGGCCACTGGGCGAGGGCTAGAAGGTAGGGGTTGAACCATCTTTATATTCTAGCAATAAACTCACATTGTCATGGTGTATAATCATAATAATATGCTGTGAAATTTGGTTTGCTAGTCTTTGTTGAGGGGTTTTGCATCAATATTCATCAGAGACATTTGTCTGCAATTTTCTTTTCTTGTAGTGCCTTTGTTTGGCTTGGGTATCAGGGTAGTACTGACCCCAAAAAACAAGCTTGGAAGTATTCACTCTTTTTCAATTTTTTTGGAAGAATTTCAAGAGGATTGTGTTAATTCCCCTGCAGTTGTTTAGTATGATTCTCCAGTGAAGCCATCTGGTCCTGGGCTTTTCTTTGTTGCAAGGTTTTTGATTACTTATCCAATCTCCTTACTAGTTATTTGTCTGTTCAGATTTTCTATTCTTCATGATTCAGTTTTAGTAGATTGTGAATGTCTAGGAATTTATCCATTTTTCTAGATTATCCAATTTGTTGGCATACAATTTTCCATAGTATTCTCTTAAAATCTTTTTTATTTCTATGGTGGTTCTAATGTTCTCTCTTTCATTTCTGATTTTATTTACTTAAGTCTTTTCTGTTTTTTTCTTATTAAATCTAGCTAATGATTTGTCAAATTCTTAGTTTCATTGAAAAATTCTGTCATATGCTACAATATAGAAGAATCTTGAGGAAATTATGCTAAGTGATATATAAACCAGTTTAAAAATGACAAGTACTGTATGATTCCACTTACATGAGCTATCTAAAGTAGTCAATTTCATAGAAACAGAAAGTAGAATAGTGGTTATACCAGCAGGGGGCAGAGCAAAGGAGTTGTTTTTTGAGTATAGAGTTTCAGTTTTGCAAAATAAAAAAGTTCTGGAGCTCTGTTTCACAATAAGGTGAATATATTTAACCTAGTGGGTATGAACAGTGCACTTAAAAATGGTTATATTGTGTGTTTTTTACCACAGTTAAAACATCTCCTCCCCCAATGAAAGCCTGTTCTCTCTAACTAAAGGATGT